GCCTTTGCGCCCCTTTTTTAATTTATTTATTAACTTTTTTTTATTATAATAGAACTAACATAAACTCCCATTTTTTTTTAATAATCAGATTCTAAAACAGTATTTATTAGTTCCGGGTCTTCCGCAGAGCCTTTGCTCCCTTTTTTTTTATTTATTTATTTATTTATTTATTATAATTGAACCAACATAAACTCCCATTTTTTTTATAATCAGATTCTAAAACAGTATTTGTCATTTCCGGGTCTTCCGCAGAGCCTTTGCGCCCTTTTTCCCCCTTATTTTTTTTTTTTTTAATATAATAGAACCAACATAAACTCCTATTTTTTAAATAATCAGATTGTAAAACAGAATTTGTAATTTCCGGGTTTTCCGCAGAGCCTTTGCGCCCTTTTTCCCCCTTATTTTTATTTATTTTTTTTTTATATAATAGAACCAACATAAACTCCCTTTTTTTTATAATCAGATTCTAAAACAGTATTTGTGATTTCCGGGTCTTCCGCAGAGCCTCTGCACCTTTTTTTTTTTTTTTAATTATAACAGAACCAACAAACAACTCCCATTTTTTAATAATCAGATTGTAAAACAGAATTTGTAATTTCCGGGTCTTCCGCAGAGCCTTTGCGCCCTTTTTCCCCCTTATTTTTTTTTTTTTATTATAATAGAACCAACATAAACTCCTATTTTTTAAATAATCAGATTGTAAAACAGAATTTGTAATTTCCGGGTTTTCCGCAGAGCCTTTGCGCCCTTTTTCCCCCTTATTTTTATTTTTTTTTTTTTTATATAATAGAACCAACATAAACTCCCATTTTTTTTATAATCACATTCTAACACAGAATTTGTCATTTTCGTGTCTTCCGCAGAGCCTCTGCACTTTTTTTTTTTTTTTTTTTTTAATTATAACAGAACCAACAAACAACTCCCATTTTTTAATAATCAGATTGTAAAACAGAATTTGTCATTTCCGGGTCTTCCGCAGAGCCTTTGCGCCCTTTTTCCCCCTTATTTTTTTTTTTTTTTAATATAATAGAACCAACATAAACTCCCATTTTTTTATAATCACATCCTAACACAGAATTTGTCATTTTCGTGTCTTCCGCAGACCGCACGGATCCCTCATAGGCTGTTCATTACAGTCCCTGATTTTAATCAGGTGTTTAACATGATTACATTACAATGTTTGACACAATTGTGGGGTTTTTTTGTTCCTGTCACTCGCGCTCGTAGTAGTCACAACATTAATTTTCAGGAACGTTGCCATGGTGACAAGCGCAGATGTAAAATCCCAAAGCAATTTCAATGAACGCAAGGCCAAAATAATCCGGTGCTTGCATTATTATTTCTTCCTGCGACGATCCAAAAAAAAAAAAAAAGTTTAAATATTTATTTCACCCCAAATATAAATATTATAATAAGGCAAAAATCGAGGTGCTGCAGCAACTGCAAGTTTTTTTTTTTATTAAACTGAAATCTGCTGGGAAACGTTTAAAGCGGCTGTAAACCTCAGACATGAAATATGAACAAAGCACATCACACTATAGCGTGTACCTGTCTCAGTCCAGAGCACTGAGTGTCATTTCTGTCTGCTGCCTCCTTCCTCTGCTATCAGCATGAATCACTTCTGACAAGTTTTCCTGACACCAAGAGAAGAAAGGGGACAGGGGAGCTCCAGCACACAGCCTGTGATTGACAGCCTCCGCTCTGTTCCTGTGTGCTGTGTGAAGGGGGGGGTGTCCCTTCCCTCCAATCAACTTTCAGCTCTCCTCACTAAGCTCTGCAGAGTATAATTTCAGCTCCCTGCCCCCTACTTTCTGAAATCTCAGACAAGCTGTATTAATGCTGGGCTTTGAACAGATGTAGAGGAGAGGTCTGCAGAGAAATACAGTGGGTAGAGAAAAGAATCCCCCCTCCTTTTAAATAAACACATTTTGTTGCTTTGCAGCCTGAAATGAAGACAGACACAGTGTTTGTTTTATACAGCTGTATTTACTAGTAACATCCAAGTGAAAAAATAACATCAACATATCAGAAGTAAAAAAAAAATAAAAAAAATAAAATTACATATTCTCAATGTTGGAAAAAGGATCCCCCCCCCCCTTATGTCTGTATTTTGTTGAAGCCCCTTTTCCTGCAAGTCCAGCCTTTAGACCGTTGGGATTTGTCTCTACAAACTTTGCACATCTAGACTTTGCGATATTTGGCCGCTCTTCTCTGCAGAACGGCTCAGGTTCAGTGACATTGGATGGTGACATTGGAAGGAGACGTTGGATGATGACATTGGATGGTGACATTGGATGGTGACGTTGGAAGGTGACATTGGAAGGTGACGTTGGAAGGTGACGTTGGATGGTGACGTTGGAAGGTGAAGTTGGAAGGTGACATTGGAAGGTGACGTTGGATGGTGACGTTGGAAGGTGACAATGGAAGGGGACGTTGGATGGGGACGTTGGATGGGGACATTGGATGGGGACGTTGGAAGGTGACGTGGATGGTGACATTGGATGGTGACATTAGAATGTGACATTGGAAGGTGACGTTGGACGATGGCGTTGGAAGGTGACGTTGGATGGAGACGTTGGAAGGTGACGTTGGATGGTGACATTGGATGGTGATATTGGAAGGTGACGTTAGAAGGTGACGTTGGATGGTGACATTGTAAGGTGACGTTGGACAGTAGCATTGGATAGTGACGTTGGAAGGTGACATTGGATGGTGACGTTGGATGGTGACGTTGGATGGTGACGTTGGAAGGTGACGTTGGATGGTGACGTTGGAAGGTGACGTTGGATAGGGACGTTGGATGGTGACGTTGGATGGTGACGTTGGAAGGTGACGTTGGAAGGTGACATTGGATGGGGAGATTGGATGGGGACGGTGGAAGGTGACATTGGATGGGGACGTTGGATGGTGACGTTGGATGGTGACGTTTGGATGGTGACCTTGGATGGTGACGTTGGAAGGTGACGTTGGAAGGTGACATTGGATGGGGAGATTGGATGGGGACGGTGGAAGGTGACATTGGATGGGGACGTTGGAAGGTGACATTGGATGGGGACGTTGGATGGTGACGTTGGATGGTGACGTTGGATGGTGACGTTGGAAGGTGACGTTGGAAGGTGACATTGGATGGGGAGATTGGATGGGGACGGTGGAAGGTGACATTGGATGGGGACAGTTTGTGGACGGCAGTCTTCACGTTATTTCAATGGGGTTGAGGTTTGCTCTCTGACTAGGCCATGCAAGGACATCCCCCTTCTTCTCCTCTAACCACTGGGGGGGGGGGGGGGGGTTCATTGTCGCTGGGCTTTGGCTCATTGTTATATTGGAAGGTGAACCTTCTTCCCATTGACCACTTTCAGGCCAAGGGCAGCAGATTTTCCTCCAGAATGTAAAGGGATTTTGCCCAGTCCAACTTCTTTCTATCCTGACAAGGGCTCCAGTCCCTGCTGCAGAGAAACCCCTCATAACAGGATATTACCCCCCATAACAGGATATTACCCCCCCCCCCCCCATAACAGGATATTACCTCCCCATAACACGATATTCCCCCTTCCATGTTGTACTGTAGGAATGGTGGGATTTGGATGGTGAGCTGGATTGGATTTCCTCCAGACATATTATTTAGTGTTGAGGCCAAGTCCTTCCATTTTCGTCTCCTCTGACCAGAACCCCTTTCTCTGTGTGGCCTCAGAACATTCCTCCTGGCTCTTTCATCCAGTTTGGAGTGATGTCCTGATCCTGGAAGGGTCTGTGTTGTACCAAATACCTCCCACTTCTTCATCATAGACTTCACTCTGCTTCTAGACATTGATAAAGCCTTGGACATTTGTTTTGTATCAGTCCCCTGACTTTTGCCTGTCCACAACTTTATCCCGGAGATCCCGGTGACAGTGCCTGGCCACCCAGAGCTGATTATTTTCTTTGGTTACACTACCAGGGACTGAAATGCTCCAGGAAAGCTCTTTTCATGCTGAACTAATCAAAATGACCCCAGCTGATCACAAGTGAAAATCAAATAAGTGTTCCATTGAGAAGGTGATTAGCTACACCTGACTGAGTCATTTTTAGGAGGGGGGGGGATCCTTTTTCCAACTCAGTGATTCAGTTTTTGATTTTTTTTTTTCTAACATGTTGGTGTTCTATCCTTCACTTGGATGTTATGAGTTTCACTGAGTAAATACAGCTGGATAAAACAAGAACTGTGTCTGTCTTCATTTCAGGCTGCAAAGCCACAAAACATGATTCTTTTAAAGGGGGGGGGTTCTTTTCTGTACCCGCTGTAGGTACAACTTATGTAGGATTTGTTGTTTTATCTCACCGAAGGGTTTACAACCACTAAGTATCAGTTGTGGGTGGACTGACCCTTTAAAATCTAAGTGCAGCCAAAAAAAAAACTGAAAGGGGCAGAAGGGACAAAACGTACATTCAGTGTTCCCTGTGCTGATCCCCTTGCTGTTAGTAGTCACCTTTCTTTGCCCCCGGTGCAGCGGTGGTTAATGCACTCGCCCTTTCTGTCCAGCTCCGCCATTCATAGAAACCATTGTAAACTTCTATGAATGGAACAGGAACCATGAATGTAGGGGGCGGAGCTTTGAATCATGAATTAGTGGAACACGATCTAACAATGGAGCACAGATGGACGACTGATAGCTCTGCCCCTCCATTCACAGATCCTGCTCCATTCATAACATCTGTAGTATGGCTTCTATGAATGACAGAGCTGGTCAGAAAGGACGGGCACAGTCAGGCACTGTAGATGAAACAGCCCTTTTGTTGAATTAGCCCCCCCCCAGAAGATTCCAGTGTTGGGGGTGGGGACAAGATGGAGAATGAGTACTACTAACAGCAGAATAATCAGCACAAGGGACACATCCTACTGAATGTAAGCTGTCCCTTGTGCTGATTTTTCTGTCTGAGGCTTTAAAGTAAACACACAACAAAACCCAGCCTATTAGGCCACTTACCTACTGACATGAGTCGCGGAATGCTGACATGGTGGATGCATGATCATTTCTACAGTGTCCTTTACAAACGGCACTGCAGAAATCACCCTTGGGTGGCCGCTGCGCCTGTTAAAGTGATACGAAACCCTGGACCTTGCATTCACTATATCCGCTCTCCCGGACCCCGCATTCACTGTATCCGCTCTCCCCGGACCCTGCATTCACTGTATCCGCTCTCCCCGGACCCCGCATTCACCGTATCCGCTCTCCCAGGACCCCGCGTTCACCGTATCCGCTCTCCCCGGACCCCGCATTCACTATATCCGCTCCGCTCTCCCCGGACCCCGCATTCACTATATCCGCTCTCCCCGGACCCCGCATTCACTATATCCGCTCTCCCGGACCCCGCATTCACTGTATCCGCTCTCCCCGGACCCTGCATTCACTGTATCCGCTCTCCCCGGACCCCGCATTCACCGTATCCGCTCTCCCAGGACCCCGCGTTCACCGTATCCGCTCTCCCCGGACCCCGCATTCACTATATCCGCTCTCCCCGGACCCCGCATTCACTATATCCGCTCTCCCCGGACCCCGCATTCACTATATCCGCTCTCCCCGGACCCCGCATTCACTATATCCGCTCTCCCCGGACCCCGCATTCACTATATCCGCTCTCCCCGGACCCCGCATTCACTATATCCGCTCTCCCCGGACCCCGCATTCACTGTATCCGCTCTCCCCGGACCCCGCATTCACTGTATCCGCTCTCCCCGGACCCCGCGTTCACCGTATCCGCTCTCCCCGGACCCCGAGTTCACCGTATCCGCTCTCCCCGGACCTCGAGTTCACCGTATCCGCTCTCCCCGGACCCCGAGTTCACCGTATCCGCTCTCCCCGGACCCCGCGTTCACCGTATCCGCTCTCCCAGGACCCCGCGTTCACCGTATCCGCTCTCCCCGGACCCCGCGTTCACCGTATCCGCTCTCCCCGGACCCCGCGTTCACCGTATCCGCTCTCCCCGGACCCCGCGTTCACCGTATCCGCTCTCCCCGGACCCCGCGTTCACCGTATCCGCTCTCCCAGGACCCCCGCGTTCACCGTATCCGCTCTCCCCGGACCCCGCGTTCACCATATCCGCTCTCCCCGGACCCGGCATTCACTGTATCCGCTCTCCCCGGACCCCCCATTCACTGTATCCGCTGTCCCCGGATCCCGAATTCACTGTATCCGCTCTCCCCGTACCCCGTATTCACTATATCCGCTCTCCCCGGACCCCGCATTTACTATATCCGCTCTCCCCGGACCCCGCGTTCACCGTATCCGCTCTCCCCGGACCCCGAGTTCACCGTATCCGCTCTCCCCGGACCCCGAGTTCACCGTATCCGCTCTCCCCGGACCCCGCGTTCACCGTATCCGCTCTCCCCGGACCCGGCATTCACTGTATCCGCTCTCCCCGGACCCCCCATTCACTGTATCCGCTGTCCCCGGATCCCGAATTCACTGTATCCGCTCTCCCCGTACCCCGTATTCACTATATCCGCTCTCCCCGGACCCCGCATTCACTATATCCGCTCTCCCCGGACCCCGCATTCACTATATCCGCTCTCCCCGGACCCCGCATTCACTATATCCGCTCTCACCCGGACCCCGCGTTCACTGTATCCGCTCTCCCCGGACCCCGCATTCACTGTATCCGCTCTCCCCGGACCCCGCGTTCACTGTATCCGCTCTCCCCGGACCCCGAGTTCACTGTATCCGCTCTCCCCGGACCCCCCATTCACTGTATCCACTCTCCCCGGACCCCGAATTCACTGTATCCGCTCTCCCCAGACCCCGCATTCACTATATCCGGTCTCCATCGTACAGTGCCAATCCGAACAGCTCTGTACCGCGGGATCGCTGTAATGAGCTCCTGGGCAGCACAGTGGCTAAATGGTTAGCATATCTCCCTGGCAGTACTCGGGCCGTTGGTTCAAATCCCAACCACAGCACCACCTGCCTGTAGTTTGCATGTTCTCCCTGTGACTGCGTGGGTTTCATCTGGGTACCCCAGTTTCCTCCCACACTCCAAAGACATGCTCGGAGGTAATTTGCTCCTCCTGTCTAAATTGTCCCTAGTATGTGTACAGTGGGGATCAAAAGTTTGGGCACCCCAGCTAAAAATTTGTATTAATGTGCATAAAGAAGCCAAGGAAAGATGGAAAAATCTCCAAAAGGCATCAAATTACAGGTTAGACATTCTTATAATATGTCAACAAAAGTTAGATTTTATTTCCATCATTTACACTTTCAAAATAACAGAAAACAAAAAAAATGGCATCTGCAAAAGTTTGGGCCCCCTGCAGAGTTAATATCTTGTACTGCCCCCTTTGGCAAGTATCACGGCTTGTAAACGCTTTTTGTGGCCAGCCGAGAGTCTTTCAATTCTTGTTTGAGGTATCTTTGCCCATTCTTCCTTACAAAAGTCTTCCAGTTCTTTGAGATTTCTGGGCTGTCTGTCACGCACTGCTCTTTTAAGGTCTATCCATAGATTTTCAATGATGTTGAGGTCAGGAGATTGTGAAGGCCATGGCAAAACCTTCAGTTTACGCCTCTTGATGTAATCCCCCATGGATTTCCAGGTGTGTTTAGGATCATTATCCATTTGTAGAAGCCATCCTCTCTTTAACTTCAGCTTTTTCACAGATGGCATCAAGTTACCATCCAAAATTTGCTGAAATTTTATTGATTCCATTTTTCCTTCTACACGTGAGATGTTCCCTGTGCCACTGGCTGCAACACAACCCCAAAGCATGATTGATCCAACCCCATGCTTCACAGTTGGACAGAGGTTCTTTTCATTAAATTCTGTGCCCCTTCTTCTCCAAACGTACCTTTGCTCATTCCGGCCAAAAAGTTCAATTTTAACCTCATCGGTCCACAGAACTTGTTTCCAAAATGCATCAGGCTTGTCTATATGTTCATTTGCAAAGTTCAAACGATGATTTTTGTGGTGAGGACGTAGAAGAGGTTTTCTTCTGATGACTCTTCCATGAAGACCATATTTGTACAAGTATCTCTTTATAGTGGAATAGTGTACCACAACTCCAGTGTCTGCCAGATCTTTCTGGAGGGATCGCGCAGTCAAACGTGGGTTTTGAATTGTTTTTCTCACAATCCTGAGAGCTGTTCTGTCTGATATTTTTCTTGGTCTTCCAGATGTTGCTTTAACTTCCACTGTTCCTGATGACTGCCATTTCTTAATGACATTCCGAACAGAGGATATTGACATCTGAAAACGCTTTGCTATCTTCTTATAGCCTTCTCCAGCTTTGTGAGCGTCAACTATTTTCAGTTTCAGTTTTCTAGACAACTGCTTAGAAGAACCCATGGTGCTGATTGTTGGGGCAAGGTCAGATGAGTCGGGGCATTTAAAACCTTTGAGATTGACATAACCTGGTCTTCCCAGACGATGATTGAGAACAATCCATGACACTGGCAGGTCTCAGCTTGGCAAAGGGGGCAGTGCATGCTATAAATTCTGCAGGGTACCCAAACTTTTGCAGACGCCATTTTTTTGTTTTCTGTTATTTTGAAAGTGTAAATGATGGAAATAAAATCTAACTTTTGTTGACATATTATAAGAATGTCTAATCTGTAATTTGATGCTTTTTGGAGATTTTTCCATCGTTCCTTGGCTTCTTTATGCACATTAATACAAATTTTTAGCTGGGGAGCCCAAACTTTCGATCCCCATTGTATGTATGAATGAGTTAGGGACCGTTGACTGTACACCCCTCGGGGGCGGAGACTGTATGTGAATGTACAATATATATGTAAAGTGCTGCGTACATTGATGGCGCTATATAAGTACCTGAAATAAATAAATACCGCAGATGTCGCGTTTACATTTGTGAGCCCTCCTCTCCTGAATACAGAGGAAGAAAAGGAGAGATGAACTCATAAATAAATGAACCATTAGTTCCAAATTCACAGCACAGATCTGCGGAGGCAGCAGATTCAGAACCTTTTTTTTTTTAACCCTTTCACCCCCCTCCTTTCCTATGCATTTGATCCCCATGCGGTCTCCTTAGAATTGTAACCCTTCACCTTCCTTATTCTGCACATTAGACCCTTTAGCTCCTTCATCCTGCTGTGTGTCCTGTATATTAACCCCTCGCCTACCGGGCACTTCTACCCCCTTCCTGCCTACAGGACACTTCTACCCCCTTCCTGCCTACCGGACACTGTCACCCCCTTCCTGCCTACCGGGCACTTCTACCCCCTTCCTGCCTACAGGGCACTTCTACCCCCTTCCTGCCTACAGGACACTTCTACCCCCTTCCTGCCTACCGGGCACTTCTACCCCCTTCCTACCTACAGGGCACTTCTACCCCCTTCCTGCCTACCGGGCACTTCTACCCCCTTCCTGCCTACAGGGCACTTCTACCCCCTTCCTGCCTACCGGGCACTTCTACCCCCTTCCTGCCTACCGGGCACTTCTACCCCCTTCCTGCCTACAGGACACTGTCACCCCCTTCCTGCCTACAGGGCACTTCTACCCCCTTCCTGCCTACCAGGCACTTCTACCCCCTTCCTGCCTACCGGGCACTTCTACCCTCTTCCTGCCTACAGGGCACTTCTACCCCCTTCCTGCCTACCGGGCACTTCTACCCCCTTCCTGCCTACCGGGCATTTCTACCCCCTTCCTGCCTACCGGGCACTTCTACCCCCTTCCTGCCTACAGGACACTTCTACCCCCTTCCTGCCCACCGGACACTTCTACCCCCTTCCTGCCCACCGGGCACTTCTACCCCCTTCCTGCCTACCGGACACTTCTACCCCCTTCCTGTCTACAGGGCACTTCTACCCCTTTCCTGCCTACCGGGCACTTCTACCCCCTTCCTGCCCACCGGGCACTTCTACCCCCTTCCTGCCCACCGGGCACTTCTACCCCCTTCCTGCCTACAGGGCACTTCTGCCCCCTTCCTGCCCAGGCCAATTTCCAGCTTTCAGCGCTGTCACACTTTGAATGACAATTGCGCGGTCATGCAACACTGTACCCATATGAAATTTTTTATCATTTTTTTGAGACAGATAGAGCTTTCTTTTGGTGGTATTTAATCACCTCAGAGTTTTTTATTTTTTCTTAAACCAAAAACCATTGAAAATTCTGGAAAAAAAAAAAGGTTTTTCTTAGTATTTGTTATACAATTTTGTAAATAAGTGATTTTTCTCCTTCACTGATGTGCGCTAATGAGGCTGCAGTGATGGGCACTGATAGGCTGCACTGATGGACACTGATAGGTGGCACTGATAGGTTGCACTGATGGGCATTGACAGGCATCACTGATACATGACACTGATAGGCGGCACTGATAGGCGGCACTGACTGGCAGTGATAGTCGGCACTGACTGGCACTGATAGGTGGCACTGATTGGCATTGATGGGTGACACTGAAAGGCAGCTCAGATTGGCACTGATATGTGGCATTGATGTGCACTGGTATGCACTGATATGTGGCATTGATGTGGCACTGATGGGCACTACCACGTGGCACTGATGGGCACTGACAGGTGGCACTTCTGGGGCCACACTGATCATCAGGGCACACTACTCATCATCGCCCTGATGATCAGTGTACATGTCCCCTCCGAGGAATGCCAATTACTGGCTCTCCTCTCCGCTGTCAGCGGGACAGCTCGAGAGGAGAGAAATGCCGATCACCGGCATTTCCGTGTTTACATGTGATCAGCTGTGATTGGACACAGCTGATCACATGACCGAGCCGACATCTTCGGCTCTTTCCGTGATCTGCTGTGTCCGAGGGACACAGCGCACTGGCGATCGCCGCGCTGCGCGCTCCCTGAGCCGTGCTTGTGCAGTGAGAATGGGAGGACGTCATATGACGTCCTATCAGAACGAGAGAACCGCCTTGCGCCTGTCATTGTACTATAGGGCGGGGCGGTTAAAGGATAAGTTTACCTTTCCACAAAAAATAATAAATGCATATTTTTTGCAGGTAAAAAAAATAAAAAAAGTGCATTTATTTTTTGTGTTTAGAGCCTGTAAAGCATTGCACCAGCGATCAGCAGATCACGGATGCCAAGCAGGTCTCATGTACACATTCAATGTATCTGCATGCTCATACATCCCGTACAGGCAAGCCGATACTTACGGTGGGAATACACGATAATCGATCGATCGGTCATCCAATGACCGAGAGGCGTTCGTTCGCTGGTCGAAATCGTGGCCCACATTAACCAATCTAAAAAAAAAGTTTGTCAGGCAATACGTAGTGTTGACGTCTTCCGTACAAGTGGAAGTGACGTGGTGTGCGTGCAACCTTGTAGTCACACCCTTCCGTGCAAAACAAGCATTCCACACCCTTCCGGCAAGAACGAACGTTCCACGCCCTTCCGTGCAAAACAAGCATTCCACACCCTTCCGGCAAGAACGAACGTTCCACGCCCTTCCGTGCAAAACAAGCATTCCACACCCTTCCGGCAAGAACGAGCGTTCCACGCGTTCCACGCCCTTCCGTGCAAAACAAGCATTCCACACCCTTCCGGCAAGAACAAACGTTTCACGCCCTTCCGTGCAAAACAAGCATTCCACACCCTTCCGGCAAGAACGAACGTTCCACGCCCTGCCGTGCAAAACAAGCATTCCACACCCTTCCGGCAAGAACGAACGTTTCACGCCCTTCCGTGCAAAACAAGCATTCCACACCCTTCCGGCAAGAACGAACGTTCCACGCCCATCCGTGCAAAACAAGCATTCCACACCCTTCCGGCAAGAACGAACGTTCCACGCCCTGCCGTGCAAAACGAGCGTTCCAAGCCCTGCCGTGCAAAACAAGCATTCCACACCCTTCCGGCAAGAACGAACGTTCCACGCCCTTCCGTGCAAAACAAGCATTCCACACCCTTCCGGCAAGAACGAACGTTCCAGGCCCTTCCGTGCAAAACAAGCATTCCACACCCTTCCGGCAAGAACGAACGTTCCACGCCCTGCCGTGCAAAACAAGCATTCCACACCCTTCCGGCAAGAACGAGCGTTCCACGCCCTGCCGTGCAAAACGAGCGTTCCAAGCCCTGCCGTGCAAAACAAGCATTCAACACCCTTCCGGCAAGAACAAACATTCCACGCCCTTCCGTGCAAAACAAGCATTCCACACCCTTCCGGCAAGAACGAACGTTCCACGCCCTTCCGTGAAAAACAAGCATTCCACACCCTTCCGGCAAGAACGAACGTTCCACGCCCTTCCGTGAAAAACAAGCATTCCACACCCTTCCGGCAAGAACGAGCGTTCCACGCCCTGCCGTGCAAAACGAGCATTCCACACCCTTCCGGCAAGAACGAACATTCCACGCCCTTCCGTGCAAAACAAGCATTCCACACCCTTCCGGCAAGAACGAACGTTCCACGCCCTTCCGTGCAAAACAAGCATTCCACACCCTTCCGGCAAGAACGAGCGTTCCACGCCCTGCCGTGCAAAACAAGCATTCCACACCCTTCCGGCAAGAACGAACATTCCACGCCCTTCCGTGCAAAACAAGCATTCCACACCCTTCCGGCAAGAACGAACGTTCCACGCCCTTCCGTGAAAAACAAGCATTCCACACCCTTCCGGCAAGAACGAGCGTTCCAAGCCCTTCCGTGCAAAACGAGTGTTCCAAGCCCTTCCGTGCAAAATGAGCGTTCCACGCCCTGCTGCCCAGAACGATCGATATACACGATTACCAGCATGCGTATAATATCGTTTATCACATGAACTATGTACATAAATAGTGATACACAAAATATAATATGCAGAATTCTGGTTTCATGACCTCATTGGGGGGCCGATCTACTTTTAACATTTGGATTTTCCGTTCGTGTTTATGAAGATTCCTTGGACATAAACATCCGGGTTATCTTCTGTTTCCGCTCATGCGTGATAGCGCTTGATAGATTTTTTTCGTACAACCGTCATACCATCGCATAGAAAATCGGTTGTTCATATGCAAAACGAGAAAATGTTTCACTGTTGTTCAACCGGATTTTTTCGTTCACAATATTGTTATCGGTTAAAACATCCCGCTCATCAACGAAGAGAAAATCGTTCGATCAGTGGTTCTGTGAAATTTTTCGTACAATTTTCTTATCGTGTGTACGGGGCATTACTGACAGGAAGAATGAATGAACTACCACGATGCTCTACAGGTGGACTACACTGAGGACTACAAAGCTGACAGCCGCTAAGGCTGTTGGGACTTGTAGTCCATTCATTCGCAGAACATTGTGAATGAATGACGCAGCCGTGTGGTTTTTGAAATCTGATAGGTAGTATGGGGAACTTCTTCCTGTACATTTGTCGCATTGGGGTGGTTGGAACAGGTGGTGGCTGTAGGATCGGGAACACGTTACATGTGTCCACACTAAAAACAAATGAAACATGTAACATGTTATCATAGGTGAATGTATCCTTTAACCCTTTCACCTCTTCCTTCCTCTGTGTATGACCTGTACATTAAAAGTGAAAATCCAGCCAAAGGCCGGCCATACACGGGTCGATTTCCGAACGATTTTTCATTCAAAAATCGAATCTAAGAATAAATCGACCGATTATTGAGCCTTTACAACCACTTTAACCCCCTGGTTCACATCTGTGCAGTCGTGCGGGCCGCGATTTGCGCAGGCACAAGAGCCCATTCTTTTGAACGTAGTCCTTTGCCCCCGGTCATGCAGGGAAGAAGTCCCTGCACTACTTGGGAAATCGCAGCCTGCACGGGAACTGAGGATCCCAGTCCGGTTGCGGTTTCCAGTCCGGGTGGAGTGCCATTAAAATTAATGGCACCTGCCGGCGGGCCCTGCATTCCTCTGTGTGAGTGGTGCGGCTGCAGGTAGGTATGTGGGGAAAGAAACAAGCCACAAGGCGCTAAATAACACAACCAACATTGGGTTACATAGTTAGTCTGGCTGAAAAAAGACAAAAATCCATCCAGTTCAAACATTAAAAAAAAAAAAAAAAGTTATAATCCTACACCCACAATTGATCCAGAGGAAGGCAAAAAAAAAACCCCAGCAAAGCACGATACAATTTGCTCCTGCAGGGAAAAAAAATTCCTGATCCCCCGAGAGGCAATCGGATATTCCCTGGATCAACTTTCCCTATAAATGTTCTATCCAGTTATATTCTGTGTATCCAAGAAAGAATCCAGGACTTTCCTACAGCAATCCACTGAGCTGCCACAACCAACTCTTGGGGGAGTCTATTCCACATTCTCACAGCTCTGACTGTGAAGAAACCTTTCCATGGTTGGAGATTACATTTCTTTTCCTCCAGATGTAAAGAGCACCCATTTGTCCATTGGGTAAAGCAAGACAAAAAGGGTGGGTGGGGGGGGGCTGGTCCCACAGCTGCTCCGATTACCATTAGGAGTGTAGTGTGAGATTGATAAAACCAAGAAAAACAGAGCGCTCGTGGTGAAAGCCAGGGTGATGTTACACCACTGACAGTCAATAAGTCCGAATCCAAAACTTTAATAGATCGACAGAACCATAAACTGTGAACAGGACTGACAAAGCACAGATTCCTGTGAAACGCATCATCACAGTGACCGGGATTTGTTTTGGCCAGTGCCACTCCAGCTGAGGGTTTCATGGTGGCTGTCGTTGGCTTCCCTGCCTTTCACTGAGGTCACTTCCGGTGCGCCTTGACGTCACTTCCAGTGTGTGATCTTCGGTGACACCAAAGAGGTCTTCCTTGTTGCTTCTGGTGTGTGGATATACTCCTAATGGTGCGCCGTGACGTCACTTCCAGTGTGTGATCTTCGGTGACACCAAGGAGGTCTTCCTGGTCAATGGATGGAAGAAGGGCAGCAGATGGTAAGGAGTATATCCACAGACCAGAAGCTCGATGTAGTATCTCATAAAAGACCAGGAAGACCTCCTCGGTGTCATTGAAAATCACACACCGGAAGTGACGTCATGGCGCACCAGAAGCGACCTCAGGGAAGCCAGCAACAGCCACCATGAAACCCTCAGCTGGAGTGGGACTGACCAAAACAAATCCCGGACACCACAACGACACACTTCGCACAAACACAGTCCCGTTCACAGTTTATGGTTTTACCGATCTATTAACCCCTTGGCTCCGGCACCTCCCGGCCCTTTAAGGATTTCAGAAGCTGGGAGGTGGGGCAGGGTTTAGAGTCATGTGATCGACGTGACACAACGTCACGGCGGTGACATGATCGGGAAAGGTCTCGATCGAAAGAGGAGATCGGGACCTTTCCGTGAGTACCGGACATGTGTGCTGGCAGCGGGCAGGGCGCGCGCGCTCTCAGCACACATGTCTTTTTTTTAATAGAACGCAAATGTGCGGCCGCTCTGCGTCTAGGCCCAGACGCCGGGAGGCAGCACATTTGCGTTCGGCCGGCACCAAGAGGATAAAGTATTGGATTCGGACATATTGACTGTCGGGGGTGTAGGTCATTGTACCATCACCCTGGCTTTCCCCACGAACGCTCTGTTTTTCTTAGGTATTTATTTGGGCCCCGCAGCGGTACCGCCCGCACAGATGTGAACCAGGGGTAAAAGTATGAAATGTCCGACAGATCGTCGTTGCAACAACAACTCAAAAAAATGTCTGCTCAGTGCAAACATATTCTAGCCCCCATTTCCTTTTAAATGGGTATTTACGGATTCATCCGGCTTGCAACGAAGAGTAGAGCTAATCAGTTTAAGACGCGGGGAAGGCAGGATGGACGGGGGGGGGGGGGGGGGTTATCATTCTGAGCACATATGCAATTCGAGCCGAGATATATTGTAACCGAAATGTTCCATTTGAAATGGGAACATG